AACATGTTTCCAAACCAACTTCCTTCCAAGCCAAAGACTAGAAAATATGATGAAGCATATCTTGCCTTTGGCTTCTCCTGCACAAGTGCCAAGGTAGTGATCCCCGGCAGAATTGGTTTCCCTGCGTCAGGAGCACACGCTGTGGGATACAATCAGTATTCCACAGTTGTTTATGTTTCTGAACCCAGTTTTTCACAGAGGGGCTTTTTTGGGGAAAAAGTATTGATAGCAATCTTGAATATTATTACACAGGAAAAAAAACAGCTACACATAAACTAATTACACCATGACGCCTCTGTCTTTCTAAATGGAGGGACAGTAATTGAGTGTGTATATGTAAGCGTGTAAAAACTGCAGAGAGTAGAATTAACAGTAACAGTATCAGTAACAGTATTTTGTATATCCGCCGTTCTAGAAATTCATCTCATGTGAACAATAATGTGGAGCACAGCTGATGTGAAAAAAGCACACACCTTTGACATTGCATGACGAACTCCACATTCATTGTCCACACGTAAACGCAAAAAAGAAATTTTTGAAAATCTCCAACCTGGCAGGAGTTTAAAAAATATATATCAGTTTTCGGTGATTCGAAACGCTGGTTATGTGTGTTATGTGCGTTTTCAAAAATACCCGTGTAGATGTGGACATAGCGTAAAAGACTTAATAGTTTATTTTATTGCTATCTGTAATTTATTGCAGTTTATATATGGGTGTGTGTGGTTGGAGAATGTGGGGAAGACCCCTGGGCTAATTGATCAATAATGATGCTCACAATTAAAACTAAGCAGCTGTCTTTTTAAATACTGCAGTCATATCAATACAATTTGCTGTTTCATTACATGAAGGAACCTTTCAAATACAAGCGCACTCATGCTCACAGGTGTACACACGGGTGCTCACAGACACAAACTACACCCTTTTTGGCTCCTACTTCAAAGCACACTGTGCGCTGTCAATCCTGCATGCTGCACAATAATATTCAATATTTAGTATTTACTGTTATATTCACACAGATCATCGCGATGATGTTGTTTATTATATTGCTCTGTTTTTTTTGCTTGTTTTCTCTTTTTTCTTTCTCAACAGGTGATCCAGGTGATTGATAAATGTATTTTTTGTCTGTTTATTTTGTTGGTTTTTGTTTTTTGCCCTTTATCACCGTTTCTCTTCCCCGCTGTTTTTCTTTCCCTCTTTCTTTCTCCCTTTTCTTTCCCCCAGTCATGTCTGTCCCGTGTGCAGCAAGTGAAAAAGCAAACAAAAAACAAACAATAAAAGCAAAGGTGAATCAAATAGACCAATACGGCAAGGCTGGGATGGTCCATTTGGTAAAGTAAATCCGTTCGGCATCTTTCTTTGCCTTTAGACAATAATTCTGATGGCAAAAGAACCAAACGAGACAGGCGAAAAAAGTACATAAATAAATAAAGTGGAAAGTGTTAGGCGGGGCCTTGAGTTTTTCATGATTCTGAATTTCTTTTTGTGATGCTGCATATTTAGCAATGTATTTATTAATTTGTGCAAGAAAATAACAAAAATCCTTCACAAACTATGATGGCTTAACTTCAAATGAGAATAAGGAGCAGAATGGAGCAAAGTAATAAACTATTTCAATACCGGTCATATTAGTGAAAGATCAGGAGATGTTTACCAAGCTAGCATGATTGTTCAGGTTCACCACATGAAAAATCGAATTCAATAAAATTAGTGCTCTAATGTTGCATATGTTAGTTATGGCTGGGTTATACCCCCAAGCAGTCAATGCATTGATGCCAGTGTTATGTTTTTGTTATCTATAACATTTTGCAGTGTGGACCTTTCTACTTATGTTTTAGCTAACTAGAACCCTCAGCAGCTTACCAGCCACATGGAAACATTTCTTGCTTTCTTTAAATTTAACGTCTGTGTGTTTTAATGCAAAGAAACTGCAGAAACACAGTTGTTCCTTGTTAATATTTGTCATCATGTAATAACGTAGTTTAATATAGTGTTGTTTTGTGTTGCACCATGTGTTGATAGAGTACTGATTTAACGTTAATAGTGTGTTGTATTTTCACTGACTGGCTCAAAAAATATATTTGAATTCTATTAAATATTCCACATGTGCACTGCATCCAACATGATCATTATTTGAAAGCCTTTGTTGGAAGACACAGTTTTGTCAACTGTGCTAATTGTGAGCTAAAATCCACAAATATTAATGATTTCTGTTTCTTTTTATTAAACGAGTCATTGTCTTTACTTTTGTTTAATGTTACTATTTACAGCTTCAGAAATGTAAGGTTGAACATTACAAAAATGTTGTATAATTTTTTTTAATGTTGATGTGAATTTATATTTACAAACTCTTTTTATTAAGTAACCTAATGTAGATATAAGAAAATAAGAAATCCATGTGAGGCAATTCCTCCAACGCCTACTGGAAAGTAGGCTATATGTGAAGGGGGAGAAGTGTGAATTTCATGTGGACTTGGTGGCCTTTCTGGGGTATATTATTGAGCAGGGGAACCTGAATCCTGACCCAGTAAAGATACAAGCTGTGCTTGAATGGCCCGAATCCACTAACTGCCGACAGCTCCAGCGTTTTTTCTCTTGTTTGCCAATTTTTATCGCTGGTTTATAAGGGACTCTAGCAAAATCGCTCTACTAGATTCTAGTATACTTCTCCCAAAGTTTCCTTTCAGTGGGTTCAGCCTGTTCGAAAAGCCTTCTCCCATCTCAAGGAGTGGTTTGCCATGGCTCCCATTGTACGACAGCCAGATCTCAGTCCTCAAGTTCATGAACTAGGTGGATGCATCAGACTGAGCAATAGAGAAACGGTAAGCTCCACCCATGGGATTTTTACGCTCATCGTCTCTCCCCAGCAAGCAATTATGACATCAGAGATGGGGAGTTTCTTGCCATTAAGCTCGCCCTGGAGGAATGGAGACATTGGCTTGAAGGCACTGCAAAGCCATTTAGCGTTTGAACTAACCACAAGAACTTGGAGTACCAAAAGGTTTAACTCTCGAGAGGCCAGGTGGGCACTGTTCTTTACCTGCTTTAATTTTTCTATCACTTACAGATCTGGCTTGTGGAACGTGAAACTGGATGCCTCCGCAGGATCTGATCCCTGATCCTGAAGCCGCCTCTTGCTCGGTTGGAGCAGTAACTTGGGAGATCGAGTCAATTATGTGTGAGGCACAAGAAACTAACCCCGACCCTGGGTCTGGCCCACACAGCACGTTTTACCTGCCACCCTGGGGTCCAGCGCTACTTCTGGTAGCCCACAATGGCAAAGGACACCAGGGAATATGTGACCGCCTGCACCACCTGTGCTCCAAACAAACTTTCCAAGCAGTCTCCGTCCGGATTACTTCAGCCTCTTCCCAAGCCTGGCCAACCGTGGTCCCACATCTCTCTCGATTTCATCACTGGGCTGCCACCCTCCGCAGGTAACACCACTATTCTGACAATAATTGACTGGTTTTCCAAAGCTGCCCACTTTGTCGCCCTCCCAAAGCTCTCCACAGCCATAGAAATGGCTCAGCTGCTCACCACACACGTGTTCAGCTCCATGCCATTCCAGAGGACATCGTCTCAGACCGAGGAACCCAATTTAACTCTCGGGTATGGAGGGAGTTCTGCTCCACCCTGGGCACAAAGGTCAGTCTATCTTCTGGTTGTCACCCCCAGAGGAGACAGAGTGGACCAATCAAAAACTGGAGGCTGCTCTATCGTCGTTTCTCAAAACCAAGCCGCCTAGAGTGAACAACTGCCGTGGCTCTTGTATGAACACAATAGCCTCCCATCTGCCACGGGGATGTCACCCTTTGAAGCATTCCTGGGGTTCCAACCTCCCCCTGTTCTCGGAAATAGGAGCACAGGGTCACCTCTGTGCAGCATAACCTCTGCCGGTGCCGCTGCGCTTGGTGAGCCACTTGGGCCGCCCTGCTCCAGAGCAGATTCCCTGGAACTGGCCTGTAACCCCTGTTTCCCTGGATGCCTGAACGTGAGTGTGACAGTCTGGCAAAACGTGTCAGTACAGAGGGGAGAGGATCTCAGGAGCACAGTGAGTGAGCAGAAAGCAGAGTGAGAGGAATGAAGCGAGTGGAACACCTTTTTCCCTGTCTACCCATGGACCCCTGGAACTATTCCCCCCACCTTGTATATATTGCACGTGGTGTTGAAAAATAAAGAACTCAGTGTGTGCCTGAGTCTGACCTGCCAGTTAACAAAAATGTATGTATGAACATTATATATTTATATGTTAAAGTGTCTCAAGACAAGTAGATAGAGCTTTTTAAGGGGGAAAAAAAGAATAAAAGTCACATTTTTGAATATATCACCACACAATCAGCCATACTTTTGAAAAATCACAAAAATAAACAAATACACTGCATAAACAAATACATATACGAATATTTTGTTTTTTTAAAAGAAAAAGTTCTCTTTACTTACTTTTCCACAGAAATTAAGCAAATATTTTGTGAGTCATTATCTCACAGAATAACTTGTTGCAACATGAGCTTCCTTCCAAGTTTGTGAAATGTGATGTTTGCGGGGGGCGTAGGACCAGCATGCCTACCTGTCTGATTACCTGCCTGTCTAGTCAACAAAGACTTGAGGCCTACTCTGGATGAACCTTTTTATACATCTTTTCAGCACTGTCTAAATGCGATTGCCCATATCACAATGACTCACCAGCCTTTCTTGTTGGACAGCTCTTGAACTTTCACCTGCCATCCTTGAAGAAAAAAATATAAAAGACCTTTTAAGGAGCACATGTGTTGGAATTATCTTATGGAACTCTTGGATACCCATTGCAATCATTTAATTTTTTTTTTATTCCACTTACCTTCTATTTCTCGCTCGTGGACCTCCTTCAGTTTGTGGAGGAGGTCATTGAAACACTCCATTTCTACAGCAATCACCTTTGCACAGAACATGCAAGATTTTAGTTAGTTAGAGTTGTTAATTTTAGCTATTTTTTATGAATAACATAACACATTCTAAATCGAATGTTTTTAACTAAAACTTGGGAAAACAGTAAAACAAGTCAGTTGAAGTGCACAGGCGTTATAGCCGGAGGACTTTCTGTGCATGTGAGAACTGAGCATAGGACACTTTGTTGTTATTCACATGTGGGAGCAAATTCTTACTTATTTCAGGTCTGATTAAAACCAGTTCAACCGGTCCTGCGAGGCATGGGATTTAGTTCTGCAGTATGTGTTTCTAGTATATGAAAAACAGCCTTGAAACTTTTGAGTGCTCATGTACTTGCAATAACTTACAGTTTTACCACTGTAAATACTTTGTAAACAACAAGTGATACTAATACACATTGCTTTTTTGGGATACTTAATTCTTCATCATTAGGTTTTTGTAGACATTATACCATTTCGTCTTGGTTCAGTTCTGGTTCCTGAAATGCACCAAACTAAAGAAGTATGACCTCAATGACAGAGAGGCTACACAAAAATATATTCCATGATTGGAAAAGAGTAGGGAAGGTCATAAACCTACATAGCTATGCCAATGAATACGCTGAATTTGTCTGTTGAGTTTACTGAGTAATCAAAGACCTATTATTAATGTAGTTCAAATACGTATGCCTCCATTTTTATGTATACTTAACTACTCACACTATAGTGTGACACTAGAGCAACATACTTTGACATACTGTCACACTACTCACACTATAACAGTTTTGGGGTGGTGTATTTGACCCTCCTTTAATCAGAGCCATACCCTTTTTCTTTTATCATGACTATTGTGAAGGCGCATGGTAATATATACACTTGGCCTTTGAGGGTTTATCTGTAGTAAGTGTATGCTGTCAGTCCACTGTTTACCTCAGCTGTCAGTATGTGTCCACATCTATTTAGTCTTCAGGAAGCTGTAAAACTTTGTGAAAGGAGTCATTGAAGCTCACTTCTGTTCCGTGACAGTGATACTGATATTTGTTGTTTAGGACCTTCTCTTGGTAAGCACTGCTTTTCCACTGTTAGCTGCTGGTATCCAGTGTTAGTGGTGCTTTCTGAGTGGATCAAACATAGGTGGGCTTGGACACTTAATGAATAAACTCGTATATGAAGCCATTCAGCCTGAGCTGTCCCTCTGATATACTCGTTTCTAGTACTGTCCATCCTGGTTACTACCACATGAAAACCTTAAAAAACCTTCAAGTCTGCCGCATCCAGCTTCCTATTTTTCTTTTGTCAGTGCCAGCATCTCTAAACCATACATCAGAGCATGACTCAGCAGTGTCTTATAAATGTTCCCTTTCACTCTCACTCCTGCGCTTCTATTGCAAATCAACACCTCTCCAGACTCTGCTCTCACCACAGATCACAATGCCATCTGCAAATATCATAGACCCCAGAAAACTCTTTCTGCCATATTGCTGCTCACTGATTGTCACCAATTTTCCTAACATAGCTTCAACAACTCTGCCCCATGGCTTCATTTCATTTAAATTTTCATAGTGCAAACTAATTTTAGCATTAGTAGCATTAGCATACTAGACTTCTCTGGAGTAGCTGTAGATTAACTTTTGTGTGAAGAATTTCGTAGTTTATAAAACTACCAAGTAATTTCTCCAACACATGAACTCAGAGATTTCTTACCTTACACATTCACTTTATATTATGAACAGTATGTGAATTATTAGATGTTAGCATTATCTGTGGTTATATTTTTGTGATAGGTTACAAAAGTTAGCTTAGCTAGATATTTAGCTTTTTATGAAACATGATAGGGAGGTCATTGTAAAAGGTTCTGAAAAAAAAAACTGACCAAGAAAAGTTACTCGGGTGGTGGGTCATAGCCTCTGTGTTTGAAGAGCATTTTTTTAATGGCCAGCAAGAATCGATGTCTTTAGTACAAAAACAGATGTCGATTATGTATTAAATTAGATTGTGATCTCAGTTACCTATTTTATGTCTTCTTTAATATAATGTAGTATTGATTTTTGTACATGATGATCCTATTAAGAGTATGAAACATAATAAAGCAGTTTGTGTATGCTTTAGTGCATGGCTATGGTGGCTGTAGATCGGGAGCAGGTCATCTACTGATCGAAATGTTAGAGGTTCAATTCCTGGCTCCCCCAGTCTGCATGCCAAGTGTCCTTGGGGAAGATACTAACCCCAAGTTGCTCTCTAATGCATTAATCAGAGTATGAACGTTGCTTTTTGTACGGCTATTTCCGTCATTTCCTTGCTTAAAAATGGCAGTCTTGATTTTTTGTGAAGGAATCGCTCTCATGACTCACTGAGTGAAGTCACTGCCAATTGGTGGCATGCAGTCTGTGGGTGTGACTTTTTCGGATGGTCTCCGATTATTTGGAGCTGAATAGGTACTCAAAAAGTACCTTGTACCAGGTGCCACCACTTTAAAAACCAAGTCGAGCTGAGCCAAGTAGGTGGAAATGGGCTTAACTTCTTAAAATCAGACTATTACAAAACAAGATTAATGAGATGAGATTTGCTGGGTTAAAGTCAAGTTTTCTGTATCATCAAAGCTGGTTCCTTTTTTACCTGGCTAAATCACCCTGGTTTCTAATGCTGAACGCATGAACTGGTCAAAAGCTGGTTATGTTCTAAGTTTCAGTTTAAAATTGTCTGGAACTGCCATGTTTTAATTAATTATTTTTTTGTGCAGCATGTCTGAAGTTTGATTCAGTTATAGATTCCCTGCTGTAGGAGCACTTTTTAAAAATGCAACTTGATAAGCCATACCTGATTAAAATGAGGTAAATGAAGCTCAGCTGTAATGTTACAGCTGCATACAGGAATTTGTATGCAGTCTGTTGGTGATGCAGAAAATATCTAAACGATTTTAAAGTTGCAGAGGTCTAATGTACAACAACCATATTGGAAATAAATATGCAGCGTTAAAAAGTTTACAGTTTTTTATTGCTCTGTGCTCTAAATCCCAAGATTAACACATCGCTGCAACATTACTTTCTTATTTGTCAAAGTGTTGCAATTAACTATTATGTTTGTTCTTTTTATCATCATTTAATTACCATCTGATTGGCGTAGGCAGCACTTATAGGGATCATGTTGTGCAGATGCTCTTTTTGATGTGACAGTGCCTGAAGCAAAAAGCTGAACAGTGAAACCAACAACTATGACTGCAATACCCGTTACCTCTGACTAGAGTTTTAGGTTTTGTCAAGTCATGTTATGAAAGTCAGATAAGAAAGCCTGACTATGTAAATTTACTTTGTAGTAAATTTACTCAGGTCACCACTAACCTGTCTATGAGGCCTAGGGCATCATTAGCAATGACCCCAATTCAAACACCATCAGCTATTTAAATATGACATTTTCTTTCAAAAAGAAGTTCTCCTGAGTCTTGGCAACCAAGAAACAAAGAAAGCAGTCATGGCAAATGACATAGATCAAAATCCATTTACATTAAAAAACAAACAAACAAAAATCAAACCTTTAGTTTGAGTCTAAGATCTTAAAGCATTAAAACAAAAACAAATACGTCGGTTTGGTTATCCTTGATTTGATGAAGAGTCTGTTGGTATCTTCTTCCAGTTCCTTGTAAAAATTTGGTTTGCTTTCCTCGGTTATCTGATGATTTAAAACGGATGCATTTAAAGGGCTCTGTTGTCCAGCAGACATTCGGCTCTCCCTCTGCTTATTCATTTAATAATACAATAACCCTAGCCTTAGACCTGGGACCTTAACAAAAACCCTATTATCAAACCCATTTTTCATACCACAATTTACCTCACTGCAGTTTACTGGCACAGTGAGTGTGAAGAGATTTAACATGAATCATACAAGTTTGCATATTTATGCAGATGCATAGACATGATCGCTAACAGCACAAATACTGTGATTTAGCATTTTGATCGGCGTGGATTCGGCTCTCTCAACGTGTCAGGATATGTTAGGCAACTGGCTGTTCACATCACCTCAGCAGAGCAAGAAAAGACCTGTCTGCTTTTATGTTCCTGCTCTGCTATCGGTAGATCATTATTCACTCTTACACATACACATACACACACACACACACACACACACACACACAC